TCTGCTCCTCGGAGCCGCCTGCGGCCTATGGGCAGGGAGCTCTTTTCCATCGGGAGCAGCTCCCACCTGCCTTTTTTCTCTGCACCTGCTGTGGGCTGTTTCTCCCTGAACTTCACAAATCAAGTGGTTGCCTAAGTATTAGTCGCTCTGCAGTGCTCACTGGCTAAAAATTGCTACGTTCTGCCTGCTTCTTTTTTCCAGTCTCTCTCTCTTTCCCTCTCTGTCTGTCTCTCTAGCCTTTTCCCTCTCTCTTGCTAGAGACTTGAGTCTCTTATTTGAAATGGTGCAGCTAATACAAAGTCATCAAAGCACTACGGTTCTTGTCTTAAAGTGACAGCCCGCTTTATGGGGCTGTTTGAAATACGCCCCCTGCTTTTCAATGTCTCTCTATCCATCTTTGTCTGCTCTTCAGAAAGGCGGACAATATAAAGCCCAGCCTGGCGAGCTCCCCACGTTCAGGCCTGGGCAGTGCCAACCTCCGCCTTTAAGCAGATTGAAATTGTCACTGCTTCATTAATCTGAAACTAGTTACTTTCCTAAGCACACAGCACACACTTCCGATCTGTGGGGATTCACTGAGAGGAGCCCCTGGGGCCCTCCTGGGTTTGGGATTTAGAAGGCTCAACAAAGGTACAACAAGGCCTTAGGAAAACGTAGGGCTCTGCTTGAAGAAAAGTAATATCCAGTGCAAAAGGGCAGACTATTGACATCAATATATTGAGGGACCATGTAACACTATTTTCGGAGACAATTTGAGACCCAGAATTTGGAGGGTACACTGGAGAATCAGGAATCCAACTATGCAAACAGACAAAGATAGGTACCACCATGTGGAACATCTTTAGGGATTGTAGGAATCGTATAAGCTTTCGATTTTCTTTCCCCTAACAGAAGAAATTTGCCTCCAAATACAAAGCATCCCCCCCAAACTCCAATTTGACTCTGTTCCTAAGAGTTCTCTTTTTAAGTATCTGTTCTGTCTTTGACCGTCTCCAGTTCCAGCCTGAGCTACCCACTCCTAGTGCCAAGGCCTTGCATGTGGGAGCCTGGGGTCCCTGTGCAATTATCATCTTCTGTGAGACAAGCTGCCTCTTTTCTTCACATCTCCACCATTAATGAAAGACAATACAAAAGATTTCTCTACTTTTGATATTTCCAGCTGGCTTAGAATAGCAAGTTTTTGGATTCCATTCCATCTCATTTAGGGAAGAGACGTGGGCATTCTTTTTTTTTCAGAGAAGTTCAATTTTCAGTAATGTGAGCCTAAAGAGTTATAAAATAGATTTATATTAAATTATGTTAATAGAAAGCTAGTAAATGCAGTATTTAATTGCATGGGGGAAAAGTTCCCTTTTAAAAGGTCTGTCACCTTAACAGGTACATTCAAAGATTCCTTGTGAATAATGAAAATAGGAACAATTGCTTTGATGCACTGAGCCACATTCAACGTCTAGGACAGCTTTAAGCTTCGTTTGGAGAGGATGGGAGGAGCTCATTTTAAAGGAGTGATTGCTCCTTTAAACCCAATTTCCTCTAGCAAATACTGTTATTCTCCTCTCCTAACCCTACACCCTTAAGTCTGGGTCTGGGATCCTGCCCTCGAGCAGTCTCTCTTCCTCGTTAAGCTCCTTTCTTCTCCTCCCATCCAACTCACTTAACTTTGAGCACCTCCCCACCCCTCTCAAAGAAATCTCACAGAGTACCAAGGAAAGTGAGTGGAACCTGCAGGAAAGATAAAAGAGGGAAGCAAAAACAAATCCGGTGAAAATTACCCTTCTCCTTCCAGATACAAGATCACCACCAATGACTTTCTGTCTTCTCTGTCTAACATACACATACACTCACACATATGCACACATGCACACACAAACACACAGACCCTGTTGCCCTCTGTGACCACTTTCAGTTAGAACAACCACCTTTCTGGCAATTAATTGCCTAACTACATTCAGGGTGGGCCAAGCAAACTGTATTTCTGACCGTGATTGGATATAACAGGCAGAAGTGATGAGGACTCGGAGTGAGGGAAGAGAAGAGGAGGCCAGAAATCAGACTGTAGGCCTTTAAAATCAGCCTGATTCCCAAAGTCTTATTCGGTTTTGCAACCTTTAAAAACATCAACAGAGGGGGGTGGGGTAGGGGTTCAAAATCTGCTCTAATAGAGCAGGAGACCTCATGTTTTAATCTGAAAATGACCATACGGTCCACTCGGCATCGAATGCCCTAGAACAAGGCAGAAGGACCTCCCTGGAGACTGAAGAAATCTTCCTTTCTACGGAGAATGTTCAACGTCTACCTTTGATGTGATCTGAATCTTTTGCCTCTGGTGGGGGATCCCATTGTTCATTCCCTTTTGCCTAGGGAATTTTCCCCCAAGACAGGAGGGAGAGGGGCTGAGAACATCCAAGTAACCCAAACCCAGCCAAGCAAGGCTGGCGCCACGTCTTTCCTTCGCCCGGCCCCAGCTAGGCGCGCTGCGCAGCAGGAGGTGCCAAGAGCACGATTCCGAGCTACGGGCGCCGAGGCCGGGAAGGGGGAGCCAAGCGGGGCGGAAAGGCTGAGGTCCGACCCCGGCGGGCGTGGACTTCGGGGAGAGCTAGGCCCAAGGTAGGGGCGGTACAGGGGCCAGGCAGAGTGTGAATGGGAGGGGGCCGAGGGGTCTGCCCACCGTCCAGAAGAGGCTTCACTTTGGGCAGGAACACGGAGAGCTGCAGCAGGAGCTCTTTGTCCTTCTTTTATTTCCCCCGAAGGACTTATTCTCCGTAGACGCCTGTTTTTTTCCGTCTCGAAACTCCCTTCCCATCCCAGTTCTCGGGCGCCGAGTGGCCCGTTTGTTGGGAGGGAGGGAGATGGGATCTTTGAGAAAGAACGCAGGGCTGCCTCCTCCCTCCGCGGAGGGCAGGGCAAGGGGCCCGGGGCTCTGCCGGTGAGAGACCCAGGAGAGAGATCCAGGGGCAAGCAGCCTCCTAGGCCGGGGCCGGAGAGGCCGGATGCCTATGATCACTGCGCAGGGCCAGGCATCGGCCCTACTCGCTGCACAAAGCGGCCGCAGCTCCCCATTCAGCACGACACCGTGCAGTCCCTCCTCCCCACTGCCTGCCCGGTAGGTGCCGAAAGGGGAGTTGGCGGCCTCGGGACTCAGAAAGAGTAGTTTTCCTTTCTCCTTCCCAAACCAGCTTCCGGATCTCAGTTTTTGACATCCCCCTGCACCCTGGTGAGGTTTCTGGACCCTTAGCTCTGTGACCTCTGACTAATTTCAGTTTGGACAGACCCTCACTCTAAGTAAATCAGATCTAAAAGCTGTGTATGTATGTTGTGAACAGTTCCCGTGGCTTGAACCTACTAGCTGGCATCTTTATAGTAAATAATCAGAAATAACATCAGTGGATGTTAATGGGACTCAGGTTGTAGGGAATGAGATCTCCTAGTTTCCCTTTTTCCAGTTTCTTCACCTTCTCTCTCTTAGATGACAGGCCCAGGCTGCACTGAGGAAAGGGCCAGAACTACCTCTTTTCCAGGACCAGGTCTGCCAGAATGAATTCTGCTAGGTGGTGAGGAGGGAGAGACTAGAAGGGAACCAGTTTAAGTTAAAGTTAGGGATGCCAGAAGAAAGCCCACAGGCTCCAAAGGCACGTCTGGGTTATTTTGGAAAAGTGAGAGTGTAAATCTTTGGACAGAATCATTTCCTTTCTCTGATTTTTGTTTTCTCAGCCTTGAAGGAAACCAGCTAATTCCCCACAGTTACAAACAACCAGGAACACCAGTGTTTTCTAGTAATTTGCAACATCGTTTATAAGTTTCTATGTGTTTGCTTCCAACTTGTTTGATGGATTGCTGCATTTCCTAAAACTATTCCAACTATGAGGAGCCCTGGTGGTGCAGTGGTTAATTAAGCACTCAGCTGCTAACTGAGGCAGTTGGAACCCACCAGCCAGTTCGGAGAAGGTTGATGGCAGTCTGCTCCAGTAAAGATTACAGCCTTGGAAACCCAATGGGGCAGTTCTACTCTGTCCTGTAGGGTCGCTACGAGTCAGAATCAACTAGATAGAAATGAGTTTTTATTCCAAGTCTGCAAATTCCTTCACACAATTCAGGTTTTAATACTGAGAGAGATGAAACAGAAGGTGGAAGCCTCCACAGAAAAGTATTAGGTAAGGAATTTTTATTCTTCCTTACTTAATAAATGAAAAGGTTGCCTGCCATTAATTGTCATTGGAGTGGTTTGTCCTGTCAACTGTGAGGAGGTTAACTATTTTGAGAGTGGGGGATATTACCTGGTAGGCAGCATCATGACTGATGGCATTTTGTTGGCAGAAGTTTCCGTTACAAACTCCCTCAGCCAAAAGACCCACATTACCAAGTTTTAATCAACACTTGCCTCTAAGTCTTCAGCACTTTTTTCTTTCCTGTTCCCCCTTTTCTTTAGACATTGGAGGGTGGGGGACACCACAAATTTAAAAATGATTTTGTTTCATTTATTTAAATAAATATAAATATAAAATTTATATAAAACTCTTCACATACAAAGGGACTTCCAGCGACTTGGATTTGAAACACTCCTCAGGCAAATTTTCAGAAAGCAAGACCTACAGGGTTTAATTTTCTAAACTATTTTCAACGTCAAATTTTTTCATTTTAAAAACAACAACAGCAGAAAATAAGAACTCCGTGTTCTTGTCGGGGTCTGAAAGACAGCAGGGAAGGGGAAATGACATGCGCTCTCAAAAACCCCCTACAGTGTTAAACCAACCCTGTTTTTTCTCTATTATATGATGAGACTGAGTTGAATTCTAGATTATTTACATTAAAAAAAAAATCTATGACTGTGAGTGGAGCCCGAACAAACAGGTCAAGAGGGAGACGCGAAAGGTCAGGGCGTCTCGTCCAGCACGTCTGCCCCGGGACCGCTCAGCGCGGTCTTTCCCCAGACCGAACAGCGGGGATGGGCAACGTTTTGGGGTCCCAGATTGCCCGCCGCTTTGGCGTTGCAGGGGCTGCCGGGAGCAGGTGGAGGGAGGTGGGGCGGCCCGCCCTCATAAGGGGGAAATCTCCTTGTCGTCGTTGGCCGAGGCCGGCGACAAGGAGTCCTCGTCTTCGGAGCGCGCGTAGTGCGCCTGGCTGCCGACGCACTTGCAGCCCGCGTGACTGTTCCTCTGCGTGCCCTTCCCCTCCTTCTTGTGCTTCACCCGGCGGTTCTGAAACCAGATTTTCACCTGCTTCTCCGACAGGTTCAGGTACGTGGCGATTTCGATCCTCCGGAGTCGAGACAGATACATGTTAGAAGAGAATTCGCGTTCCAGCTCCAGGAGCTGCGTGCTGGTGAACGCCGTCCTCATCCTCTTGCCATTAGGTACCTGGCTGGCATCCGAGCCTCCTGCGACGGGACGAGAGAAGGCAGAGAGGTAAGACTTGGATGAGGCGCCCACCTAACGTGCCATGCCTTGGATAGGACTCCTCTCTAGGACCCACCCGCGGAAGCCCAATTAAACTCCTACATCCACCCTCCACCCTTTCCCATTTCTTGGCACGTCGTTGCTTACTTAGCAGGGGAGGAAAGAGACGCCCAAAGCAAGGAAAGGTCTTTGATGCGCCGGACGTAAAGGGGGGTGGGGACTTGACGGGCACTGTTGTATCGTCTCCCTTAAAGCCTAGTGGGAAGGGAGAGGCGGGCTGGCTTAGTCAAAAGAGTTGGACCACTTTAGCCAGCCCCAACGTGGGGATGCCACACGTAACTTCAGACACACCCACAGCGAACCTAAGGCTGCTAACCTCCGGTTTCTCCGCCCTCAAGTTCGAGATCCCAAAGGACCCGAAGTACGCAAGACTCGGGTATCAGGTACCAGGAGTAAATCACACCAGGCTGAGTGGAGAGGCTGACAAGCTAACTTGTACCTTTCTGGAACTTTTGGGGAAGACTCCACAGTTAGGCTAAAAGCCCCTCCTCCCTTCCCACCCAGCCCCCCAGGGCTCCCACTTTCTCCGCTGAAGGCGGAAAGTTTGCGCCCACCAGCGACGCGGAGAAGGAGCGGCACGCAAACGCCCAGAGACCCCGCCCTACCCATGGTGAGGCAGTGGAATCTCCGCGGGTCCGCCACGTTGTAGGTGGTGGCGGCGCAGACAGGTGCATGGTGCTGCGGATGCCCCAAGGCCGCCGCCGCCGCCGCCGCCGCTGCCGCCGCCGCCGCTGCCGAGCTGGGCTGCTGGGGCTGGTGGTGGTGATGGTGGTGCTGCGGTGAGTGGTGGTGATGGTGCGCGTGGCTTACCCGCGGGCAAAACTGCGCGTCCCCAGGACTCGAAGAAAACTGGCTCTTGAGCAGGGGTAAGGCCCCTGCGCCCCCCGCGGCCCCAGCTCCCCCAGCCCCTGCGCCTACGCCGCCAGCACTCGCGGGCCCTCGAGAGGAGTGCAGGTGCGAAGTGACGCAGAGCGGGCACACACAGAACGCGCCGCTCTTACGGGATGGGCAGCCAGGACCGGACACGGACATCACCAACGGGGATGGCATGCCCAGCGGGATGAGAAAATCTGGCCCAGTGTGCGGCTCAGGCAGCGAGGGCGCAGGCCGGGAGGAGTCCTTGATGATGAGCGAGTCGACATAGAAGGAGCGCGACATGTCGGGAGGGGTGGGTGGCTAGAGGGCTGGGCCGGCAGCGGCGCCCCCTGCTCTCTCCGGTTCTGAGCTCTGCCCCCGGTGCGGCGCGGACTCTGGCGGTCAAGCCCTTGGGGACGCGGAGGTGCCGGTGTCTGGGACGCGAACAAAGGGGTCCCCGGAGAGGGCTGGTCCTCACCTCGCCCGCCTGGCGCCCCGGCTCCGGGATTTTATAGCCCCCCACCCCGGCACGTGATGCTGCGGAGTACCGCTCGGCTCCGGTTCCTCGGCAGCTCCCCACCCTCGGGATAGGCTGCCCGAGTCACAACAGAAGCCGCGAGGAGGGGCGGGCTCGCGGCAGGGAAGAATGCGGGGGAGAGGGTGGGGGAGACTTTGCAAAGTGTAGGTTTTGTTAATTTCGCGGGGAGGCCAGCCCCCCCCCTTCTCCACGCTTTCTGGAGAAATCACAGCGCTGTGTGCTCTATCCCACCCGCCTCCCTAGCCTGGGCCCCAGCTCAACTCTTCCCCGCAATAGGCCTGTGGAGCACACCAGGTGGGGACCTCGAGACCTTTTTGATAGGGATGCCTCCTTAGGCATCCCCTCCAGGGATGGCTGCGGTGCGGTGAAGTGCGAGGCCTGCGGTTCAGAGCAGGATTGTGCATACTGCGGACAGGCAGCGGCTTAGTCCTGGAGCGCGGCACGGGCCATGGTCACCTCCACTGCTGTTCCCCAGCTTGCAGTTTTTGGACTTGGCCGAGGTCATTCAAGTGGTTAGTTCATGACCAATCAGGCTCATAACAGTGTGATCTCCCAGCTAAGAAGTCATGGAGCTTTTTTCATTCTGATGCTTGAGTACGTCTAAAATGCCTTTGCACTTGGGACCCTACTGGGGCCACTCAGATCCACGACCCTTTCTTGCACCCCTTTTCCAATTGGCAGCTCTCCCTTTGGCAAGGGAGAGAGACGTTGAGAGTCAGGTTCCCTGCGTTGAAAAACTTCTATCAAATCCCTCTAACACGGTATTTCCAGGCCAATCCCACAAACTGCACCCCAAGGACTTTGGAGAGAGGACCCCAGCCCCATCCCTCCTGGGGACCCGGCCAGGGTGGGAGGAGGCCTTTGTTCTGGGTCTGGCTAACTGCTGCCAGAATACATCTTCCAGGATCTCGGCATGCTGACAGGGTTAACCAGGAAGCACTCTCCCCTCTGCACCTTCCAAAGCCCGAAAAGGAGGGAGGGAATTGGGCCACCATAGAATCCTGGCCCAGGATGGGAGGAAAAGTGGCTTGGTAAAGGAAATCTCTGTGGGTGGTGGTGGTGATGGGGGTCTACAGATAGCCCCGGATTTAATCGGAGTCAGTGGGGGTCCAGTGGAAGACTTGCTGTGTGTGGTTGGGGGGGAAGGGCTGCCAAGGTTGGGGTTATTGCTTATTCTGGAAGGCAAGGGGACAGAGGTGGTGGCTTTCTATCCTCCTCTTTCCCTGTCGAAAAGTGAGCTGGATTAGGGAAGCTGAGCAACAGCTACATACCTATTCCTTTTCCCAGAACAGCTAACTTGAGGCGTAAGTTCACAGTGATGCTAAGAAACTTGGGGGCAGGTGCCCAAAGCCAGGACAGCAACAGCTTCTTGGGCTGGAGGGGTGGCTGTGTTTCTCTGTCCTCTGTCTTTCTCTTGATTCTTCTCTCTGTCTCTATGACTATCTCTCTTGCCTGCTAGAGGAGTGTAATTGGGTTGTAGGGATGCCCCGCTCAGGGGAGCCCAGGATTTATGGATGGCAATTAAAGTTTTATGAATTGCAGCTGAGGCTGGTTATTGAGCTATCTGAATGTGATTAGAATTCAATTAGAAAGCGGTTAGTGGACGGTGGGTCTCCTGAGTGTAAACAGACAGCTATTCCAGAAATGTGCTAATCCAACATCTTGTGACAACAATTAAGGAGTCTCAGGGCTTAACTCGGGACAGCTCGGCTGTAACTACTTTTGTACCACAGGGTTTACCACTGCAGCCATCCCAGACACTCAGCCTCACTCCAGTTGGGCCCAGCCTGCCCTTGGTCACTACCCTCAAACACATGCAGTTCTGGAATCATTCCAGCCCCAAGAAAAAGACTTGGAGCTCAACGATTGAGAGATGCTTAATGGCAGGGCATTTTTATGGCCTAAACTGTCCAAATAGGTAATGCTATTTCCCCATGCACACTTTTCTTTTTTTTTTTTTTTCCTCTGCTTTTTGATAGTAATTCTTCTCTCTTTTTTTCCTCTGGGTTAGGTAGAAGGTTCTCCAATGTCTGTTTAGGGTCACAATTTTTTCGGTAGTTCTGAGTGTGCTCATGGAAAGAACTCCTGTGCTGACGTGCTAGGAACCTGAATCCTCAAGGAGATATGGTGGATCGTCTTATTTTATTTTGGAGAAGTCTAATTAGACAAGAAGATTGAGCATCTAAATTTATGTCTGACTATGGAAACATCACATTCGAGTGCCAAGGAATTCTCAGAGAGGTGAGAGGCCTTACCCTGGGTGTTGCTTCCTTCCGGCTTTAGGGCTATGAGGTGAGTGGCTTAGGACCAGGCTGTGACCGAAAGCAGGTCAGTGTGAGAAGCTTGCCTATTAGACCAAAACAAAGCCCAGACAATGGCAATAACAACAACAACAGAAACTCACTGCCGTCCAGTCGATTTTGACTCATAGCGACCCTATAGGACAGAACAGAACTGCCCCATACAGTTTCTAAGGCTGTAATCTTCACTGGGAACCCTGGTGGCACACTGGTTAATAGCTCAGGTGCTAACCAAAAGGTCAGCACTTCAAATCCAGTTCTACTCTGTAGACTGTTGGCTCCACAGCATCGGACTACCACATCTTTCTCCTGCAGAGAGGCTGGTGGGTTTGAACCACCGACCTTTTGGTTAGCAGTCAGAGCTTAACCACTGCGCCACCAGCTAAGTTAGGGTACTTGCTTAATTGCTTGCCCCACCAAGAGCAAGTATTTTGGGGTCATGTCCATGTGGACTCTCTCTTCTCAATAGTTATCTTGGATCTCCCTGGTCTCTCTCCTCCTTCCGAACTAGGTACCCATCTTCAGAAGCCAGCCCCATCTGCCAAAGTCCCCACCTACAGGAAGAAAGCCCCCCATCCATGGCCCTGAGCAGCACTGCAGCCAGTCCAGCCAGTCCGACCCTTCTCTAGGGCAGCAGTACCCAGAACCTGCTCAGAGCAGGAGACCCCCAGCTCAGCCTCCTTCTCCAGAGAGAGAGCAGACGGTCGGCCTTTGCCCACCATCCCCGCGCTGCTGCACAATTTTATTTCTCAGTGATTCTGTCCGATAAAATTTCATCGTCCATTAAGTAATCCCCAAAATGAGAACTCTTATGAGCCTATAATGAGCTCTAATTGCTACGACTCGGGGAGCCACGTGGAAGGATTTATTTGGTATTAAGCAGTCGCGTACAGAGTACAGGCTGTTACCTAAGCCGTTACTTTCATAATTCAAGGAGAAAATTAGTTCTTTTAAGTGGGGGGAGGGGGGGTTCCCTTTGATTCCTTCCTTCTTGTTCAGGATGACAGAGGATGGCTTTATCTGCCTTAGTGCAAGACAGCGTCACAAATGTGAAGGTAACAGAATCCCCCCCACACACACACACACCAGGGCACCCCACCAACAACTTAGAGGAAAAAATCAAAGGCATTCTAAAAAGAACAGCAGAGGCATCGTCTTCAGCCTCTAGACTCTTTAACTAGAGCCTGGGTGAGCCCTTTCCTTCTAGCTCAACCTTAAGAGATGTATTCTTGGTTCTAGCTTTCAGAACCGCTTGCAGAACTTCCTCTTCCCTGATCGCACCTGGCCCGAACCTCATTTCCCTCTCTCTTCTCCTTCTTGGTGTTTCTGTTCACCTGCAAAGTCAGCAGAAGTAAAGGGCTGGGAATCAGTGTTGCTTATTCAAAAGGCCCAGAGTTCTGCCCCGTTGATGTGCTGGGCCGTTTTTCCAGCTATAACTCCCACTTTGCCCCTCATTTGCCCTCCAAAGCTTCCCCCTCCATCCTCCAACTTCTTTTAGTTTCAGCATTTGCCCACAAGGTTCTCCTGCTGGAAACGGAGGCTTCGGGCAGGGCGGGACAGCCCTGGCGTTGGCGGGGCCGCCTCGGATTTATTTGCTCCTCTTACATTGATTTCATATTAGTTTCCAAAGCGATGAATGATCTCAAAGCTGGGTTTTGTTAGCTGAACACAAACAGGAGACAGGACTGACTTGCCCCCAGCTCCCTTTAATGAGGTCATTATCAAAGCGTGAACAAGTCTATGAATGTTTTATTGAAAGCGCATCGTTAACTTGTATCCATCCTTTTCTCCGAGTGGCATTGTGATATTGCTGTCTGTGGCACATCTTACCCGATATAGCCCGAGATTTCCCCATTCTCTGTAACCAGGCAACCCTTTCTGAATACCCAAAAATTGAAAAGAACCGCTTAGTCTTCAAGAAAGTCCTCAATAATAGTGGAAAAGAACAAAGATCCAGGAGACAACAAAATGCCACAGGGGTGACTTTTCATGAGCAATTATCTCTCATTAATCAGAAGAACAGCTGCAATATTAATTTTCTCTCTTTCTTCCTCTCTTTTCACAGTCCCCAACATTTGAATAATCATAAATTTTGATTTTATGGAGTCACGTTTTCAGGGACTGGCGGAAAGCAGCTACCTAGGTGAAGACAAGGAGAAAACGCTTTCATTTTATTTTTTTTGTTTGGTTAAAGCCGTCAACAAAGCAAAAAGAAAAAAATAATAATAAAAATAAGGGAGAAAGGCCAGAGAAACGTGCCCCCCTTCTTCTAGATGGTGGCTGGGAATCAGGACTCTCTTCTCTGGAGCCCCCTCCTCGCAACTCCCCCTCCCTCCCTCTCTCCTCCTGCCCATACCCTTCCCAGTGCTTCTCTGAGCAGGGCGGAGGGAAATGTCCCCGGTGGCTGGCGTGGGAGTTTCAGCCGGGTTTCTGCCCGTTTAACTTGCAAACGTGAAGCCAAGCGTTGTGGATCTGACCAAAGAGGCACTCTTTGGGCGTAACTTGCATTGTGGCCATCAAAAGCCCGCCAGTCTTGGATGAACTGGGACGTGCATTCAGCAGAAATGGGGCGCTAGCTCTCCTTTCAGGCGCCGGCGAGGCGATTGTTCGCAGGGTGTGTAGCCAGGGTGGAAAACTAGGGTCCCCAGATAAGGCTGTAACCTGCAAACGAGCTTGCGGGAGTTAAAAGAATCTCATTAAAGCCGAGGCTGCAATTAGCAAATACATACGCCTGGAGAGTCCAAGCTCTTCTTGAAAAGCCGTGGATGGGGATGAAAAA